AATTTTTGTGGGGTTTTGGGGTTTTTTGTTGTTTTGCTTTTGAGATGGAGTCTCGCTCTGTCACCAGGCCAGAGTGCAATGGCACAATCTTGGCTCATTCAACCTCCGCCTCCTGAGCTCAAACGAATCTCCTGCCTCAGTCTCCTGAGTAGCTGGGACTACAGGCACCCACCACCACGCCCAACTAATTTTTGTATTTTAGTAGCGACAGAGTTTCACCATGTTGGTCACACCGGTCTTGAACCCCTGACTTTGTGATCTGCCTGCCTCAGCCTCCCAAAGTGCTGGGATTACAGGCGTGAGCCACTCCATCTGGCTAGTTCTTGTTGTTACTGACAAAGGCACTTGGCCCCACTCCACCCAGCACACTCCAGAGGTGGTCAGATGCCTCCCCAAACCGCCAGTCCCCTCAAGCAGCCCGGCCCCACTTTCCCGACATGCACAGTGTCTGCCACTTCTGGTTCACCGTCTGGGACCTGTGTGCCCCATGTAGAGCTGCCATAGCATCCTGTCAGCTGCTCCATAGTGTCACTCCTGGCTAGTCACAGTCTGGTTTAGGGTTGCACTTCTCCCCAGATCAGACAAGACTTGGAAGGGACAGGGGACATTTCCTGATCGGCTAATGCGTGTTGAGCACCCAAAATCACAGGATGCTACAACTTTGCTTGTGTCTTACTCGCTGCTCCCATCTGCCTTGGAGGTCCGTGTAATGAGCCCCCATGTGCAGATGAGGCCACATCCTTGGAGCTTTGAGCCCCATGTGGTGGTCACCTCCCCTGGGAAGCCCTCCCTGACTCCCAGCTGGGTCAGGACCCCTGCTATAGGCTCCCGTCGGCCATGTAAACCAAAAAATGTCTGAAACAGGTCTCAATTGATTTAGAGCTTTATTTTGCCATGGTGAAGGGTGCAGCCAGGAAAAAGAGACTCAGGCTGCAGTAGGGTCTGTGGTCTGTGCTTTTTTCCAGAGAAGGTTTTGAGGACTTTGGTATTTAAAGAGGAAAAAGGGGCTGGGCGCAGTGGCTCGAGTCTGGAATCCCAGCTCTTTGGGAGGCCAAGGCGGGTGGATCACCTGAAGTCAGGAGTTTGGAGACCAGCCTGGGAAACATAGTGAAACCTCATCTCTGATCAAGAGGTCAGGAGTTTGAGACCAGCCTGGCCAATATGGTGAAACCCTGTCTCTACTAAAAATACAAAAGTTAGTTGTGTGTAGTGGTGGGCGCCTGTAGTCCCAACTACTCAGGAGGCTGAGGCAGGAGAATCGCTCAAACCCGGGAGGTGGAGGTTGCAGTGAGCTGAGATCACGCTACTGTACTGTAGCATGGGCAACAGAGCAAGACTGCATCTCAAAAATAATTAATTAATTAAAAATAAATAAATAGACCAGGCACGGTGGCTCATGCCTGTAATCCCAGCTACTCTGGAATCTGAGGCATGAGAATCACACGAACCCGGGAGGCAGAGGTTGCAGTTGAGCCAAGATCATGCCACTGCACTCCAGCCTGGGTGACAGAGCAAGACTCTTCCTCAAAAAAGGAAAGAACCTTTAGGGGTGTCTGAGACCTCAAGAAACCCAGGGCTCATGCTAGAGTGGAAAGACCAGAGCTTTGGGGTCAACAGAGTACCCCCGCTCAGTGGCTGTGTGACCTTGGGCACGTTTCTTTACCTCTCCTTGGCGTCAGTGTCTAGGAAAGCATCTGCACACGGTGATGTGTGTGATCCAGGCTGTTCTTTCTGTGTTCTGTGCATGCACAGCCGTGCCTGCTGAGAATCCCGCCACCAACGATTCCTCAGTGGCACGGGGCCAGATGGAGCAGGCTGCCGCCTCCCCGCAGGCTCTAGGAGCTGGTCCTTGGGCTGGAGGACTCCATCACAGTTGTCTGCACGAGATCTGGACGGGGTGGGCTTGATCCCTCCCACATCCCTGGAAGGAAGGGCCATGTTGGGCCACAGGAGAAGACGAGGGTTCTGGTCTTCTAGAACCCTCTAGAAGCGTGGGGTCTTGGTGTGGCTGAATTAGAGGCATCACTCCACGAGATAGGGAGGGACACAGGAGGAGGACGTTGTCTGGGATGGCTATGTTTGCGGTGTCTCAGGGCATGCAGGGAGCTGGCTGGCCGGCCGTGCTTGAAGGCAGATGCAGCAACTCACAGATGGGCGGAGATTCCAGAGTGTGGGCGTGGACGGACCAGGCTGGGGACCTGTGAGGTTCCGGAGGACCTGGGGAGGTGGGTGTTAGAGCGCTTGGAGAAAGAGGAATTAGGCCAAGCAGATGCCCAGCCTCTGTCCTGTGGGAAGCTCCCTGCTCTTTGGGGTAGCCCCCACATTGAGAATGGGGACTCCACTCTGGTAGCTTGTGCACGGGAGGCCAGGCCACCCGGACGGGGTCAGCAGACTCCAAGCAGCACAGAGCACCAGCCCAGGAGATGGAGTTTCCAAGGTGGCCTCCTGGACAGAAGCGAGCTCTTCCCAGAGTTTTCAAGATTAAAACAGAGCCAGGCACAGTGGGTCACACCTGTAACCCTAGCACTTTAGGAGGCCGAGGCAGGAGGATCGCTTGAGCCTTGGAGTTCAAAAACAGCCTGTGAACCAGAGAGAGACTCTTTCTCTACAAAAAATTTAAAAACTTAGTCTGGCATGGTGATTGATGCCTGGAGTCCCAGCTACTTGAGAGGCTGAGCCAGGAGGATCGCTTGAGCCAAGGAGTTCAAGGCTACAGTGAGCCATGATGGCGCCACTGCACTCCAAGCTGGGGGACAGGGTGAGACCCTGTCTCAAAAAACAGAGTCAGACTGGGTGTGGTGGCTCATACCTGTAATCCCAGCACTTTGGGAAGCTGAGGCAGGCAGATCACCTGAGCTCAGGAGTTCGAGACCCTGGCCAATATAGGGAAACCCCGTCTCTACTAAAAATACAAAAATTAACCGGATGTGGTGGTGGGCACCTGTAGTCCCAGTTCCCATGAGGCTGACGCACAAGAATGGCTTGAACCTGGGAGGCAGAGGTTGCAGTGAGCCGAGACCGTGCCACTGCACTCCAGCCCAGGAGACAGAATGAGGCTCTGTCTTGGAGAAGCAAAAAAAAAAAAAAAAAAAAAGGAATCATTTTGTTCCAAAGACCCATCAGTCTGCTCTGCATCATCTGACCCTAGCTCCCCGCCACCCTCCACATCTCACCCTTACCCAACCCCCACCTGTCCCAGAGGCCCAGCCCACGTGCCCCCATGCTTCCCAGAAAGGAGACTTCCTGTTGGAAATGCAGACCACCCTTCCAGCAATCCCAGCCCTGTCCCCAACCCTGGTGGAAGCCCTCAGGCTGCTGTGGAGCTCCGCCTGGACCCGTTCTCCAGCCCACCCACATCTCAGCCTCACAGCCCAGCTCAGGCCCCGTCTCCAGGGCTAACTGACCCCAGCAGCTCCTCTAGGCTACAGGGAGCGGACAGCAGAGCACGTCGGGGGCTTAAGCAGCAGATAGGCCGTGACGGTTGCCTGGGCAGTGAGCGAGGAGAATGCACGACCCCCACAGCCCAGACACGGTCTGTTTCCCATTCACAGACCTTGGCCGGCGAGCAGGCGGGGAATTTCCAGCAGGTCAGCACAGCCACACCGGCCTCTGTGCACAGACCCTGCTAGGACCATCAGTCATCTCCGCTCTGCTACCCCGAACTTCAGCCACTCCAGGGCACACACACGGGATCTTTATTTTTTTTATTATTTATTTATTTATTTTTGAGACAGCGTTTCGCTCTTGTCACTCAGGCTGGAGTGCAGTGGTACAATCTTGGCTCACTGCAACCTCCGTGTCCCAGGTTCAAGCAATTCTGCCTCAGCCTCCTGAGTAGCTGGGACTACAGGCGCCTGCCACCACGCCTGGCTAATTTTTTTGTATTTTTAGCAGAGACAGGGTTTCACCATGTTGGCCAAGCTGGTCTCGAACTGCTGACCTCAAGTTATGCACCGCCTCAGCCTCCAGAAGTGCTGGGATTACAGGCGTGGGCCACTGTGTTGGTCCTTGAGAGCCCACTTAAGCTTCCTGCTCTCTGGCGGGGAGGTCTCCCCAGCCCTGGTCAGACAGGGCGGGCGTCCTGATTCATGTCCCTTGTCTCCTAAATGTGTCCTATTGTACTTCGGTGACCAGGTGATACCCCCTCTGGCTGGGAATCTCTCAGGGGAGCAGCCCTGCCCCTTCTCTAGGCTGTTTTTTGCCCAACACAGGGCCTGTGCTGGGGACACTGATAAGAAAATGCAGGAAAGGCTGGCCACCATGGCTCACACCTGTGATTCCTGCGCCTTGGGAGGCCAAGGCAAGAGGATCGCTTGAGGCCAGGAGTTCAAGATCAGCCTGGGCAGCATAGTGAGACTCCATCGCTACAAAAAATTTTAAAAATTAGTCAGGCATGGTGGCATGCATCTGTACTCCCAGCTACTCAGGAGGCTGAGGCAGGAGGATCACTTGAGCCTGGGAGTTGGAGGCTACAGTGAGCTATCTATGATTGTACCACTGCGTTGCAGCTTGGGTGACAAAGCAAGACTGTGTCTCAAAAAAAGAGAAAAGGGTGGATGGACAGACCGACAACTGAGACTAGAAACCAGCTGCAGCCGGGCACGGTGGCTCACGCCTGTAATCCCAGCACTTTGAGAGGCTGAGGCAGGGGGATCACCTGAGCCCAGGAGTTTGAGACCAGTTTGGCCAACATAGTGAAACCCGGTTTCTGCTAAAAATACAAAAATTGGCTGGGTGTGATGGCGCGTGCCTGTGATCCCAGCTACTTGGGAGGCAGGAGAATCACTTGAACCCAGGAGGCGGAAGTGAGCCGAGATCATGCCACTGCACTCCAGCCTGGGCAACAGAGCGAGACTCTGTCAAAAAAAAAGAAAAGAAAAAACTGCATGGGAGTAGGCAGGGCTTGGAGAGAATGTTTTGGCAGATCAGGGACACCCGGTGGGAGAAGCAGCTGGCCAAGCCGGTGCCAACTCTCATGGCCCTTTTTCTTCTTCTTACAGATGAAGATGATGCTAACAGACTCGGCGAGAAGGTGATCCTGCGGGAGCAGGTGAAAGAACTCTTCAACGAGAAATACGGTCAGTGCCTGTGGGCGGGTCAGTGCACCAAGCCTTCTGTGGCGGGGTTTCGGGGAGGGGGGTCCCTCTGCAGCCAGCCTCGCCTTCCGACTGGCCTGCCTGCTCCCTGGGGACATGGCTGCTCTGCCCAAGACCCACGGTGTGTGTGTGTGTTGATTTTGTTTCTTTTTTTGTTTGTTCGTTTAAAGCAGGGTCTCACTCTGTTGCCCAGGCTGGAGTACAGTGGCTCAGTCTCTGCTCACTGCAATCTCCACCTCCTGGGCTTAGGTGATCCTCCTGCCTCAGCCTCCCAAGTAGCTGTGACTACAAGTGTGCGCCACCACTCCCAGCTTTTTCTTTTTTTCTTTTTTTTTGGAAATGGAGTCTTGCTCCGCCAATAGGCTGTGTAATGCGGTGATGCGATCTCGGCTCACCGCAGCCTCCACCTTCTGAGTTCAAGCAATTCTCCTGCCTCAGCCTCCCAAGTAGCTGGGACTACAGGCATGCACCACCATACCTGGCTGATTTTTTTGTATTTTTAGCAGAGACGGAGTTTCACCATGTTGAGCAGGATGTTTCTTGATTTCTGACCTCGTGATCCACCTGCCTTGGCCTCCCAAAGTGCTGGGATTACAGGCGTGAGCCACAACGCCTGACCTAATTTTTCTATGTTTAGAAGAGACAAGGTTTCACCATGTTGCCCAGGCTGGTCTTGATCTTCTGGGCTCAAGTGATCCTCCCACCTCGGCCTCCCAAAGTGTTGGGATTACAGGTGTGAGCCACCACAGCTGGCCTGTGTGTCTTGATTTTTGTTTTTGTTTTGCTTTTTTGAGACAGAATCTAACTCTGTCGCCAGGCTGGAGTGCAGTGGTGCAATCTCCGCCTCCCGGGTTCAAGCAACTCTCCCGTCTCAGCCTCCTGAGTAGCTGGGACCACAGGCACGTGCCACCACGCCTGGCTAATTTTTGTATTTTTAGTAGAGACGGGGTTTCACTATGTTGGCCAGGATGGTCTCGATCCCCTCATTTTTAAACTCTCTAGGTGTGATGGCTGCCGGGCTGAGGCAGACCAGACTCCAGCCCTTTCCTTAGATGGCTCTGGCTTTGACAAGAGATATCTTTTCTCACTGTGACTTCCTGTGTCCTCTAGGTGAGGCCCTGGGCCTGAACCGGCCGGTGCTGGTCCCTTATAAACTGATCCGGGACAGCCCAGACGCCGTGGAGGTCACAGGCCTGCCTGACGACATCCCCTTCCGGAACCCCAACACCTATGACATCCACCGGCTGGAGAAGATCCTCAAGGCCCGAGAGCATGTCCGCATGGTCATCATCAACCAGCTCCAGTGAGTGCCCAGGCTCTGGAACGGGAACAGAGAGGGTGAGGTCATGGGGAGGGTGAAAGTCAAGGTCCTGGTGGGTCAGCTGGAATCCAGATCCAATGTACTATGATATTTCCTGCCTTTCTCCTGAAACATACAGCTTCAACGCTCATGGGCATTTACTTTTTTTTTTTTGAGATGGAGTTTCGCTCTTGTTACCTAGGCTGGAGTGCAATGGCACAATCTCGGCTCACTGCAACCTCCGCCTCCTGGGTTCAGGCAATTCTCCTGCCTCAGCCTCCTGAGTAGCTGGGATTACAGGCACGCGCCACCATGCCCAGCTAATTCTTTTGTATTTTTAGTAGAGACAGGGTTTCACCATGTTGACCAGGACGGTCTTGATCTCTTGACCTCGTGATCCACCTGCCTCGGCCTCCCAAAGTGCTGGGATTACAGGCTTGAGCCACCATGCCCAGCCAGCATTTACTTATTTTTTAAAGATTTTTTTTTTTTTTTTTGAGACAGAGTCTTGCTCTGTCGCCAGGATGGAGTACAGTGGCGTGGTCTCAGCTCACCGCAACCTCCACCTCCCAGGTTCAAGTGATTCTCGTGCCTCAGCCTCCCAGGTAGCTGGAATTACAGGCATGCACCACCACACCGGCTAATTTTGTATTTTTAGTAGAGACAGTGTTTCTCCCTGTTAGTCAGGCTGGTCTCGAACTCCCGATCTCAGGTGATCCACCCGCCTCGGCCTCCCAAAGTGCTGGGACTGCAGGCGTGAACCACTGTGCCCGGCCATTTTTAAAGGTTTTTTTTAGGTATTAAATTTGTTCTCTGGGGAAGAAACAAAAACAAAACACGTTTTAATTAAATTGGACTTTTTCTGACTATACAGTTCTTATTTTTAACATATTTAAATATAAATGTTTATATTTATAAGCTTTTATTTATAAATATCTTTATATTTAAATATGAATGTTTAAACATAAATATTTATACTCACGCCTGTAATCCTAGCACTTTGGGAGGTCAAGGCAGGCAGATCATGAGGTCAGGAGGTCGAGACCATCCTGGCCAAGAAACCCCATCTCTACGAAAAATACAAAAGTTAACTGGGCGTGGTGGCACGTGCCTGTAGTCCTAGCTACTCAGGAGGCTGAGGTGGGAAAATCACTTGAACCAGGAGGCGGAGGTTGCAGTGAGCCAAGATCGCACCACTGCACTCCAGCCTGGGTGACAAAGCAAGACTCCCTCTCAAAATAAACAAACAAAAAACAAATAATAATAATGATAATGCCATGATGAATATCCACTTGCATACATCTAGACACGCGTTTCTGATCACTTGGTCAGACAGCACCCTGAGGACTGCAGACCCAGAGGAAGGATTTTCTGGCCCAGACCCATCGTCCAAGGCCTCCGTGGGGGATGCTGTCAGGAGGGTGTCCTCCCCATTTTTATCTGGGTCTTACCAGGCTCCCCAGCAGCAGCGGCAGCAGCGTATCTCAGGGAGCAGATGACAAGGAGGAAAAAAAAGCCCGAGGCAGTGGCGCACGCCTGTAACCCCAGCACTTTGGGAGGTGGATATGGGCAGATCACCTGAGGTCAGGAGTTTGAGACCAGCCTGGCCAACATGGTGAAACCCCGTCTCTACTAAAAATGCAAAAATTAGCTGGGCATGGTGGTGCACATCTGTAATCCCAGCTACTCAACAGGCTGAGGCACAAGAATCACTTGAACCCAGGAGGTGGAGGCTACAGTGAGCTGAGATTGCACCACTGCACTCTGGCCTGGTCAACAGAGCTAGATTCTATCTCAAAAAAAAAAAAAAAAAGAGGAAGAAGACTCATTTTCTAACTGCCACCTCATTATTTCTTTCTTTTTCAGACCCTTTGCAGAAGTCAGCAATGATGCCAAGGGGCCAGGTGAGTCAGAGGCTGAAGAAGCCACCCTTTTGCCCCGTGGGGCCTAGAGACTTCCTTTCACAAAAAAGGCAGAGCCAGGTGCGGTGGCTCACACCTGTAATACCAGCACTTTGGGAGGTCGAGGTGGATCAGGAAGTCAGTTCAAGACCAGCCTGACCAGCATAGTGAAACCCTGTCTCTGTTAAAAATACAAAAATTAGCTGGGCATGGTGGCGGGCACCTGTAATTCCAGCTACTCGGGAGGCTGAGGCAGGAGAATCCCCGGGAGGCGAAGGTTGCAGTGAGCCGAGGTTGTGCCCCTGCACTCCAGCCTGGACAACAGAGCAAGACTCCATCTCAAAAAAAAAAAAAAGAAAAAGAAAAAGGCAGAGACACCAGGAGTTGTAGCTGCAGTGAGTGACTGCACTCCAGCCTGGGCAACGGAGCGAGACTGTGTCTCTAAAAAAAACATTTTAAATAAAAAATTTGTTTAAAGGCAGAGATAGATGTGGTCTAGGTGGGCATGCAATAGATGGCTGACCACCTTGAGAAAAATATAGCCACTCTCCACCCTGCTGCCTCCCCAGGGAGCCTGAGGTCTCCATGAACGGGGGCCGGGCATCCCCAAGAGGCCCCTGAAAACCTGCAGGTGCCCTGTGGAGTGGGGGCTCTAGCATAGCAGAAATGAGCATATGAGGTCAGCTAGAGATCATGGGGACCTCGTGGGTAATGGAGGGGTAACGTGTGACCGCTGGGGGTGAGGCGGACAAGCACTGCCGGAGACTGGCTGGAGAAAGGCAGGGCATGCAGAGCCTTTCATCAGGCACCTGGAGGGCCGCTTGGCATGACGGTTCTGATTAAGGCGTGTGATGGGCCTTGGGAGAAAGTACTCCTGGGTGACTATGATGTGCACCCGATTGAGAAACACTGATCGGGGATGGGCGTGGTGGCTCATGCCTGTAATCCCATCACTTTGGGAAGCCGAGGTGGGCGGATCACCTGAGGTCAGGAGTTTGAGACCAGCCTGATCAACATGGAGAAAACCTGTCTCTACTAGAAATACAAAATTAGCCGGATGTGGTGGTGCACACCTGTAATCCCAGCTACTCGGGAGGCTGAAGCAGGAAAATCGCTTGAACCCAGGAGGCGGAGGTTATGGTGAGCTGGGATTGCACCATTGTACTCCAGCCTGGGCAACAAGAATGAAACTCCATCTCAAAAGAAAAAAGAAACACTGATTGGGCTGGGTGTCGTGGCTCATGCCTGTAATCTCAGCATTTGGGGAGGCTGAAGCAGGAGAATCGCTTGAACCCAGAAGGTGGA